CAACATGCCTTTGGGATTTTTCTTATTTTATTTCTTTTCCAGGAGGCTGAAAAGCATGTGTGGCTGCTGAGGCAGGATGGCTGTCTACCCGGGATCCCCGATGAGGGCTGATCCTCTAGCTTGGCCTTAGCAAGGTGGTTGAGGGGATTGGAGCCTGTTGAATATTTCACAAGCTGCGGCCCATGGGGGGAGAACAGGGAAAGGTGAAGAGGCAATGCCTGTGATTCTTTATGATTCCGATATAAAATCAAGCTCTTCGCCGTGGGAGGGAAACAGACACTGCAGTCAGCCCACAGCCGGAAGGCACGGGGCACCAATTCTCCCACTTTCATATCTGCTGTTTCATTTTATATTCATCATGTCAGCATAATCTGCCTTTATGGGAATCGTCTTGGTTCCCGACCAAATGCGTTTAGTCCCCCCTTTTGCTTTAAGTTTGATTGTAATAGGACTTGAAGAATTCAATGAAATGTTTATATGGGAGGACGCGGGGAAGAGGAGAGGAAAATGCAATTGGAAAATCAGTCAGCGGGGACTTTCAGGAGCTGGCTTTGGTTTTGCCACTATTTCCTTGGCCTGTTGGTAATGGACGGAGGACTGGCTCTCTGACCCAGTGTACTCCGCCGATTCCCTGCCGCATACGGAATCAAACGCGCCCTATCACCGCGCATCCTAAGCCCCTAAGTGCGTCGCAACTGCACAGTCAACGTGAATTTTTGCTGCACTCCTACTTAAACATGTGGTTGCACCTCCTGAGATACCCAGCCACTCAGCCCGTGCCCAGGCCTCCTTCCCTCCACTGTGGCCCAACAGTAGGCCCATCCCCTGCAACACTCATATCACATGGTCTTGGAGTAGCTCTTGCTCTCCAAGCTAGGAGAGTCCTGTTCCAACTTTGAGTTCCCAGTGGATTTTTACTTACTTTTTCCTTAGTTCTCTAATGAGGGTTAATACTCCCTTCCTCATCTTATTATGGATATGTGTAAATACTTGTGTGTATTCATCAGCAATTCGGTAATTATCTACTGAGCACTTATACGTGTCGAGCACTACTGAAAGGACTTGATATGGCAGGAAATCAGACATGCAAGGTCCCCAGAGAGACAGGCATTAAACACATATTCAAGAAAATACATGAGGTGAATTTCTCACAGCGACAGGTGCTGGAGAAAGTTTTTGTAAAAGGGATATAATGCGGAGTGGATGTGTGTGGAGCACCTTCGCTAAGAGTGGCATGGCCTCTCTGAGCAGGTCTCATTTGGACTGAGAGATGAATGCTGAGAAGAGCTAGCTTGCAAGCTCTAGATGGTGAGTTCCAGGTAGACCAGACAGAAGGTACATGTGCCCTGAGACAGGAGGCAGCCTGGCCTGTTTGAGGACACTTATAAGTCCTGCAGGGCTGGAGTACAGGGCAAGGGGCCGATGATAGGAGGTGGGTCAGAATAATTTACAGCCACATTCATGAAGAGTGTGCATGTGTGGACAGTGACATGGGGAAGGGGGCATGTGTAGAAGGGATCCTTTATTCTACTAAAGGACCCTGAGCTTCCTGAAGGCAAGGCTGTGTCTCATCTCACTACATATTCTGAGCTACTAAGCTGACTGCAGTTGAGAAGGTCCTTAAGAAAGTGTGTTGAATAAATAAACATGAATGAATGAATGAATGAATGAATGAATGAATGAATGAACAAGGCCTCTGTTTCCACCAGGGAAAGTTTCTCTTTGAGGTCTCATGCCCCTCCTTTCCACTCCGACAACAGTTTCTTTCCTTTGTAATAGAGTAAGTCCGGAGCTGTTCTCTGTGATTCAATATTTACTGTGTTTCACACACTGTTATTATCATTTAACTTTTACTGTCTGCTGACTGTGCACTCATCACCGTAGCAAACAAGAGCTCAATCTAGTTTTGGTTCATGGGCTAATTTAGTCACAGAAAAGGAGACGTCGTAAGAGCAACTGGCATTGTAGAAATTGCGCAGACTGGAAACCCAGCTGGGTACAAACTCACCAGTGACCTTAAGCAAGTCATTAACCCTCTGAGACCTTCTGTTTTCTCATCTGAACATGGGAAGTCTGAGCCTCTTTAATGGGGGATTTCAGGCACAGGCCGCGGACAGCTCGAGAAGTAAGGAAGGCAGATTTTAGCAAGCGTTCCTTCACTTGCTCTGCTTGTGTCTTTAGCAGGCCATGCCAACCATATGTGGCCTGCCCTGGGGCTTCCTGCTGGTGCCATCCAGGGAGTCTTAGCACAGTTAATGCCCACCCCCCAGGGGCACATGGGTCCTCCTTCCTGAGCTGCTGAATGAGAGCCGTTTCTAGAGGCAACTCTCAGCCTTGGGTCCCTGGGCCTCTGACTCTGGGCTTTTATGCACTGAGAGGAAAATGAGTGAGGTACTGCGCCAGGCCCTTTACCACAATGTCTTCACCTCGCCTTGGCCCAGCTGGCTGGCTGCCAGAGAAGCCACTGCCCAGGCCTCAGGTGCCGAGGTTCGGAGGTGGGTGGTGGGAGGAGAGAAGGTCCTGGGACGAGACCATCCCAGACAGCACACCTGCCCTGTCTCCTACCCTGGGGCAGCACAGTGAGCTTTCCCGGGCCCTTAGGGCCCACATTCCAGGAGCTGATGAACTCTTGTGATTATCTCTGCCCTGCTCAAGGGCCTTCAGTGTCACCAGATACAACGGTGCAGCAAGGGAAACACAAGCAAGTTCGCTCTTGGACTAGTAACTTACCATGTTCCGGTCACTTTGTGTTTTACTTAGAATGAGGGGGGAGGCCATGGAAGGTGTCGAGCAGAGGAGTGGCACGAGCGGATTTAGGCTGTGGCAGGATTCCTCTGGCTGCTGGCTGACAATAGTCGGGAGGGGCAGAGGTGCAAGGAGAGAGTCAAGTTCCGAAGCCCTCACAGTAAGCCAGGCCGCAGAGCGTGGTGCCTGGGCCCAGTGGTTGCAGCAGAGGAGCTGAGAGGGGTGGATTCTGGGTGGCTTTTGGAGGATTCCCTGAAGGGGCTGGGTGAGGAGTGGGAGAGAAAGCAGGCAGTCAAGGATGTCTCAAGGTTTTTCTTAGAGAAGCCGAAGAGTAAATAAGATCCTATCCCCATGAATAATAATGATAATAAATATTAATAGCTAACTTTTTATAGCACTTATTAAGTGTCAGATGCTCTTCCCCTAAGGACTTTTATTTGTGCACCTCGAGGAGCTAGAGTTTATTGGGAAAGGGTGATATAAGTAGAGTTTGGTGGACAAACATCATCTCCTGTCTTCAAGGAAACTCTTTTGCCTTCAGTGTCATCAGATATAACAGGGGGGCTGCACTAGGGCGTGGGGAGAGCTGATCAGATAAGAAGTTCTAGCTCAGCCTCCCATCAGTCCTCAAGTGTGTGTGTGTGTGCGCGTGTGCTTGTGTATGTGTGTGCAAGCACACGTGTGTGCGTATACAGTCTTTGGGGACTGGAGGAATACTGCCTCTAGGTCAGATTCCTGTCTTAGGAAGAGAGTTCCAAGTTCCAAGCCTCAGACACAATTGAGGCTACTTGTCTGCTGATGGCTGGCCTAGGTCTCCTACAGGACTCTCACTTGAGTGAAGACCTGCCCACCCTCCAAGGACACCACCGCCCTTCCCTCTTCTCCATAGGACACACTGATAGGCCTCGCCGTTCTAGGGCCTTTCCAGGGACACACCCCTTTAGTAGACAGAACTGTGAAAAGATTGTATGATGCCCATGCAAGGGCACTTGGGGTACTTTATGCCATCATCCTTCTACTTAGCAAGAGGGTATGTAGGTATGATTAGATTGAGTGCAAATACTATTAAAATATTATATAGATATAAAGTATGTGCAGAGGGAAACAGCAGAGAGCTAAGAGTTAGTAACTTCAAGTCAGGTGACTTTCCCGTTGACTAGATTGTCCTAACTTTTATTATTATTATTTATTTATTTTTAATTCTCACCTGAAGATATTTTTTTTTCATTGCTTTTTCAGAGAGAGTGGAAGGAAGAGAAGAGAGAGAGAAACACCGATGTGAGAGAGACACATTGATTGGTTGCCTCCCGAGCCCTGACCAGGGCTGGGGATTGAGCTTGCTGCCGAGGAATGTGCCCTTGGTGGGAATCAAACCTGGGACCCTTCTATCCTCTGGCTGATGCTCTAAGCACTGAGCTAAACTGGCTAGGGCGTATAACCTAACTTTCCACTGGTTATATATGAG